CTTAAATGGATTACATTTTGCAATAAGGAACCACTATCTCTGGCTCTTCTGTAAAAGCACCTTTCTGCATAGAGAAACCAAAAGCATATGTGTTGTTCCTAGAATGAGCCAGAAATAGTGGTTCCTTATTGCAAATTGTAATCCATAAGTAGGAGCGCCTTCAATTTCGTATGATACTGTACAATACCTCTGGTGAGAAATAGTTCATTCAAACGCCGCGGTACGCTGCAGTGCGGCGCGGCGGGCGGGCAGCCAGCGCTGAACGCGCATTGGCGCCTTCAAACCTAACGGGGATACCTCACGCATTGCGCAATGCTCGAAGTATCCCTGTTAGGTTTGTAGGCGCCAGTGCGCCGCCGCTCCGCTTTGTGTTAGGCTCTAATATTTAATCTCGCGAAGTCAGCGTTTTTCAACTCATGACTTTGAAATGTTTGCACACTCTGTATGGATTATTCTCATTTTAATTGATGAAAAAAAATATGTAGTAAAGGAAAATATAATGTGTGTTTCGTAAATATTAGGGTGACTCCGTACAAACTTAAGGATTTACAAAGCACAAGAATTTCTACACAATTTCTTATAGCCTTTTATAGCCGATGGTGAAAAAGCAGCAGCCAGGCGGTAAAGTGTAAAGCCCGGCGATAGGAACTATAGCCCGGCTGTATAATTTTTTATCGCTTCGTGTAGCCCGGCCGTATGATTTTTTCCACTTTCTACAGCCAGCTATATGATTTTCTATCGCCCTCATCAGTCGGCTATAAGAGCTCCTATGGTATTTTGAAACGCAGCTCCTATCGCCAATTTTTACCAGGGAAATTGAGTATCCAAGCTCTGAAATTCCCCAAAACAGTATTTATTTGAAGTCTTGACTCATCATAGGGATAAACTTGTCCAAAAATACAGGCTTTGAAGCTTTTTCTCATGAATCAACTCAACACTGCAGAGACTTGGGTAAAACATTAGAAATCTTCACTCTTTGTTGAGATTTCATTTCTCCGACGTATGTGATCAAATTCGTGAAAAGGGCCTGCAGGGCCGGATTAAGGGGGTGGCCACATGGGACTTGGCCCATGGCGGCAAAATTTAGGGGGCGGCAAATTTTGCAATCTTTTTGAATGTAGGTATCAACAAATGAGAGGAGACAATCGGATTCAGAAAATAAATTGCAACGAGAAAAGGCGACAAAATCTCTCATTTCCTGAGAGAAAAAGTATAGTAATTTCTAATTTTGTCGTCTTTCGGTGAAACAAGAGACAACACCTTTAATTAGTCGAGTTAAGAGAAAAACCAAACACGCAATTTGACCTGGAACGGAGCGGCACGGCGATCGGCATGAAACACGTAGCGCCTACGAGACTGCATGAATACTTCACGCATTGCGTAAAACACACTGTGGTCAGCAGCAGTCGGCTTGAAACGCATAGTGCCTACAAGACTACATGAATACTTCACGCATTGCGCCAAACAGTGTGGTCAGCAGCGCAGCGATCGGCGTGAAACGCATGACGCCTACAAGACTGCATGAATACCTCACGCATTGCGCCAACACGGCGCGGCGGTGGAAGTTAAAATTTTTAACCAATGGAAGGCCTTGTCCAAACAGGGATGGGTTTACGGAACTGAACTTTTGTTAGTGTTGACAGGGCTTTTACAAAAAATGTGCCCAACACGAGTAAACGCGTCTTATAGACCCCTCCCCCACCGACACGTTCACTTGATGGTTTTTATAGATCGTATTTGACAGATCACACAGGTGAGATTATATTGATATCGATTGGTTCAATATGTAACCATAGCCTCAAAAGTCAATTTAGAAATCTGAGGTAACGGGTCTCATGTGATCGAATTTTTATTTTCTCGAGTACCATATGGCAATGAAAAGTGAAATTGTTAGGAATTTTCTCATTTTCAGCTTTTCCAAATTAAATCTTAAAATTTTTGTTTGAAGTTGTGTTCTATTGTTTTAACCAAACGATACATCGAACCACTGTCGAATACGATCTATTGATGTTTCAAAACAAATGAGGAGGGAGCGGAAAAATACCGGCGGCCCATGGGTGGCATGTAGGTAAATCCGGCTCTGGAAAAGGGATTTCATCATTTGGAGGAAAATTTTCAGCAACTTTTTGAAAATGCATGGAAGAAGAAAATCTGAAAATTTGTCAGTTTTGTCTCAAAAATCTCAAAGATTGAAGGAGATATTTCAGTCCTGAGGTTCTAAGAAAAAAATTCTTATTTCGGTTGCGTCTTGGAAAAATGTGGTTTAAGTGTTTGTAAAATGTTAGAGACCGGAAGATAAGGTCCTTTTTCACAGATCCAGTCACATGTTGATCTCACACCAGAGGTTGATCTATGGTGTAATTTTAGCTATGCTAATACCCACATTTGATACGAATTACTCAAATGGAAACCGTAAGCGATAAGCAGATTTTATGAATGAATCCCTGAGGTGCGACAGAAGGGGTGTTTTATATAAAATTTCTATTGGACAAAGTTTAGTTTGAAAAAAATCGTGTTTCTCAGTTTTACCATAGAATAAAGAGACTACGGACTTGTGAATGCGATTAAGAAATATTACTGTGGAAGTTTTACTAGAATTAAATGTCAAGGGAGGTTATCTGGTGGTTTTTATGTTTCTAAAGGTTTAAAACAAGGATGTTGTCTGTCACCTACATTATTTAAGATCTTTCTAGAACACGTTTTAAAAAAAGCATTCAAAAGCATTCAAAAGCATTCTGACCTACGGCAGTGAAGTGTGGCCCATGAAAGAGCGTACCAAAAAGATTCTTAAGGCAACTGAGATGGATATCTGGCGAAGATCAGCCGGAATCTCGAGGAGAGATCACGTAAGGAACGAAAGAGTCCGTGAGATCATGAACGCCGAGCAGAACATCGTGCATGATATTATGACCAAACAGCTTGTCTGGTATGGTCATGTTCAACGAATGGCGGATGATGGGTTGCCTAAGAAGGTGCTAGATTGGGTTCCTCCTGGGGAGAAGACGTAGGGGACGCCCAGCAAAATCGTGGATTGGTGGCATTCAAGATGAAATCACAAGGTGCCATCTACCAGATGACCTCTGGAAAAAGAAGTGCTCTGGCATGGGCGTTCCCCTAAATGATACGGACACATTGTATACTCTATGTTTTGCTGATGACCAGGTGGTGATCGCGCAGGATGCGGATGACGCTGAATATATGACTCGGAAATTAGTGCTAGAAGATCGAAGGTGGGGCCTAGAGGTCAGTATCAAGAAAACGGAAAAGTTGACGATTGGAGGGGATCAGCAAGACATAGAGCTGGAAGATGGACAGTGTATTAAAAGCTGCGAGCATTACAAATATTTAGGAGTTCGAGTGTCCCAGGATGGAAAGATGGACCAAGCCATAAAAGATCGAAACCTGCAGGGAAGGAAAGCTATTGCTATGTTAAATAGGATTCTTTGGGATCAAAGTATCTCTAAAGAAAAAAAGAGAATGATTTATAACACCATAATCAAAAGCATTCTGACCTACGGCAGTGAAGTGTGGCCCATGAAAGAGCGTACCAAAAAGATTCTTAAGGCAACTGAGATGGATTTCTGGCGAAGATCAGCCGGAATCTCGAGGAGAGATCACGTAAGGAACGAAAGAGTCCGTGAGATCATGAACGCCGAGCAGAACATCGTGCATGATATTATGACCAAACAGCTTGTCTGGTATGGTCATGTTCAACGAATGGCGGATGATGGGTTGCCTAAGAAGGTGCTAGATTGGGTTCCTCCTGGGAGAAGACGTAGGGGACGCCCAGCAAAATCGTGGATTGGTGGCATTCAAGATGAAATCACAAGGTGCCATCTACCAGATGACCTCTGGATCAATAGGTAAGGATGGCGATTAGGTGTTGCAGAGCGCCCGAGCGCGCTGTAAAGCGACTGGAATGTATGTATGTAAAGAGACTACGACAACAGAAGCAAAAGCTCTGTAAGAACCAATGTTGACATTTTTCTTCTCAGAGTCGATCAATCTGGTACTTATTAAAACCAATTTCGAGGTTACCTACAAATATAAAAGTGGAAAAAAACATTAAATTTTAAGCAAATCGCAGTATTTCTCCGGTTCAACGATAGGTAAGTTTAAAGAAAACTCTTTCTGTTCCTAAAAACGTATGTATCCGCTATTATTGGACCTCTCTAAAACGTCAATCTACTGCAAACGTAAACAGTACTTATTAAAACAGCTTCCCTGCGCTGTGCTTTGTTGACATGAAAATTGCAGTGGCTTACGCTCCTGTTGACGTTCGTCTTTATATTCTGCGGTTTTACCCAGTGCATAGTGGCAGGTTGTAAATTATAATCTTGGACTAGCTAATTCTATAATTTGAAGCAAAGACAAGATGTTCATCTACTTCAATCCTAAGTAAAACCTATAGATTCTGTCATAATTTATGAGAATCTAAATAGCTACTGAACATTTCTTGCTGATGTAATTACAAATTTTGGATGGTAACAGCTTCATTACATATACAAGTCAAGTAGTTCAGTAACTTCCTAAAAGCTCTGGCGGTTTTTATTTTCCATTTGATTCAAGTTCAGTTCAAAATCAGGACAACAGTACCTACGCTGTTTCAAGTAGATGAATTTCAGTGTCATTACAGCTAAGCGTTGGTCTTGGTAAATTTAGTTCTATGTCACCACTTCAAATTAGAGTTTCCTTACGCAGGCTCTGACGCTTATTTACGCACACCCACAGGTGCAATGCGACTTCATTTTCGGCACAGATCTTAACATGTTAGCGCTCCATCTTCAGATCTTTGACCAAATATGATCATTTCACATCAGCAACTCCCAGCCACACAGTTACGAGGTAAACCATGAAGATTATCTGGGAGAAGCCTGAAAGTTATACGCTATCCTTTTGATCAAAAATTAGCGACGGCCAGGTCGAACACCTGTGGATCGAAGAGAGCGATTGTAGAATGTCAAGAGAAGGTGGCAAAAGAGGAATAATCCTCCACTTACCTCGATGTTCCCCATAGTTTGAAATGCCGTAAAAACGAACATAAACCCCAGGCCGAGGAGTAAAACATTGACGAATCGTTTGTCTAAATCCATGTTGAAAATGCGAAGCAGACGGAGGCAGCGAAGGAGACACAAGCGAGATCTCATGGGATCTCAATTGATCACTGAACTGACTGGATAAACTGACGATTAATATGCAAGATCGCCGTGAGCGAGCTATCTCTCTCTCTCTCTCTTCTTTCTCCTCTTTACCTTTCCCTTTCACAAACTTCACGGACCATGTTATCGCACGGTGAATAACCACAACTCGTCTTGAGCAAAACAAAACACAAGTGACGTGACGTGTAGAAAACAATGTTGCCGGCTGGTAAAATTTTAAAACTCTCTTTCTCTTGACGAAGTTTCTTATTCTTTTTCCTTTCAGCATTGAACTTGAAGACGATTCAATCCTACGGAAATAATTATTTTTTAGTCTGAAGAGAAACCTGCTTTGGTTTTCGTGGGGGAATCAGAGCTTCCAGCTAGTTTCTAAAAATAACATAGCGGGAGAGCAGTTTCCCAACAGTGCTTTCAATGCGCGTTCGAGTTTGCGCGCGAAATTTGATTTCGTTCAAATGAAGTAGCGCGAATCAAAAGAGCGATTCATCACTACTGACATACTGTCCCTTCGCAGGGACCAGGCCAAAATTTTTATTTGAAAAGAGATTGGGAGGTTCGTGCATGAGTTGCAGCTGAAAATTCCTACTGATTGCATGGAAAGAACGTTATTATGTAGGAGGAACAGAATAATTTTTTAACTGTCCATGGAAACATTGCCTTTAGAATTGAGTCTTGTGGAGGAATAAAACTAATAGTAGTATGAAGCCTTTCGACGGTGAAACTACCGGACCACGTATCTCATATGCGGTGTTTAAAAATCTCTGCTCCCATTTTATTTTAGTAAAGGAAAACAAACCAATATCATTCCTCGAAATTTTCACAGATTTTTCTTCACTCAAAGAGGAAAAATCACGGAGGTTTTCAAGAATTGACGTTGAGAAGTTTTTCATCTAAAAAATGAAGTATGACAGGAGGTCTGTGACGTTGCAAACCAAGATACGTGGTCTAGTTGTTTCACCGTCGCTTTGTTTAACTCGGTCTAATTGGATACATTTAAACAGGAACAATTAGGGGCCCTGGCAATGTTGAGGTCCACCTCCCCCTCCCCCCGAAGCGCTTCACGCCTTAAGCGTTGTGCGTTACCTAGGTACTCTTATGCTACTCAACCTCAATTATTGAACATTTCCGATATTTCCTCTCTGTGCGAAGATTACTGTGCAAATTTCAAGGAATGATAATGATTTGCAATTAAATAAAATGTGAGCGGGAGATTTTTGAATACTGCAAACGAGATACGTGGTCTGAAATTTCACCGTCGATATGGAGTCTCTAAAAAAGATGGATGTGAAATAGGACTGCTTAATTGTGTGTTAAATGAGGGCCCACGGGCAAAATTGGAAGAGTCGAGAATGATGCTAGCGGGCAGTCACAACAAAGGGTAGGTACCAGTGGCGTGGCGTGAATTGCGATGTATCAATTGTTCTGCCATTTAAACCTATGGTAAAGAATCGATTATTAAGGTCTTCGCTGCGAACACCCGGTTAATCGATCCTATCCATAGGTTTAAATGGCATAACACTCGATACATCGCAAATCACGCCACGCCACTGGTAGGTACCTATTCTCAAAAAGCACCCATGGTTCCATCATCTCTGAAAAAAACTTTTTATCTACTCCAAGCTAAGTGAAGTTTTTTCACATTAATGGTAGGTGGCTCTTGGATAGAAAATTAACTCTGAACTGGCTGCAATCCTCCTATCCTAAAATCCGATCTATTACATCTCTTGATAAACAAACATTTTATTTCACTAGGTCTAATTTTGCATAATCCCTTGTCTGGAGCAAATGATTTAAAAAATGAAGCAGAGACCGGTCTTCTTTTAAAGATGCTCATTTTGTAAGATTATCAGCTCCTTCATCTTCTCCTGGACTATTTGACAATTTTAAGTGTTTTTTGTCGGAAACTCTTCAATTGGTCCCCCTTCCGGGACTGACAAAAGAAAACGTCCTTCTAGAAAAGCCTACGCATTCTGAAGTCCCTTTTCCACCAATGAACTCAATTAACAATATTTCAGAATGAAACACTCTGAGGGAATGTTAGAAGGTACCTAAAGGTTTGCGAAAGTTAATCATTCATAAAATGAGAAAATCATTTTTTCTTTCAGGAAAATAGTTTTGTAATGCTGACAATACAAGAAAATAGAGAAATAATACAACGAAATTAATATACGCAAACAAAGGTACACAGTTTAATAAAGTAAAGTTGACCTCTCAAAAATAAATCTGACTTAGGAGTTACAAAATGAACCAAATTGATGAATGAGTAACAAAATTAAACATAATTCGTAGCCCAAATACTAAAGAACAGCCCGCGAAATACGTGTTTGAAGTTTCGAAACTACATGGATCCTCATGGCGGAAAAAAAGTTCAAATAGACTTTTTGATGCTTAGAAATTGGAATATGGGAGCGAATATTCCACAGAATATGCATTAAGACTAGTTTTACTTGAAATCATTCAAATCTCAATTTTTCACCAAGACCGCACGCAGGCTCGGACTGGCCATAAGGTCAATCTGCCAGTGGCAGATACGCCCCCTTGGCGCCCCAAAAATGCGCCCCTCTGACAGATAGCAAAATAAGGAGAGAAAAAAAATATATGCATAAAATTTTTTAAATGAACGGAAGAAGAGAGAGTTAGGAGTGAAGAGAGGTGCTTTTACGCATAGTGGTGAAAAGAGGTCCAAGAACTACTTTCTGAAGCGTAAACGCACATTTATGTGAAATTGTCACCTTTTTGTTGACATACATAGGCGCTTTATCATCCCCTTCCTTCACTCTCTATGTGTAGCTCCCGTATAGAAGTGATAGCCATTCGATTTTTAGGCAAACGCACACTTTGTAGACCTCTTGAGAGACCTTTAAACTTTTTTCTTCCTTTTCAAAATGACTATTGATTTAAACATATCATAGCATATCTCGGGCAAACTTAACGTTAATTTATTTCGAAATTCAAAAGTAGGTAAGAGACATCTAAAGTGTAAACGCGATACAACTATTCTCGCAAGATGGGTGTCCACATTGCATATGAAAAATGTAAGACGCGATGGCGTGAGTCGTTAACTCGAAATACTCTGCTCTGGTTTAAAGCAACATTACAAATAAGACAAACGGAAACAAACACAACATGGAAATAGAGGGAGAGAAAGGATGCGTGTTAACGACGGCGCAGAGATACAACTATTCGTACTTGATGGACGTCCGTGCTGCATCTGAAAAATTGAAGGCGCGATGACGCGAGGCGTGAGTTCTCAATGCCCTGCTGTATGCTGCCAATGAGGTGTCGCTCAGATTCGGGAGAAAAGTTAAAAAAGAGGCCCGAATACGTCTTTCTTGTCGTCAGCTGTGTTGATACTCGTTCTTTCTTCCTTTTTCAGGTTCTTGCCTGATTCTTTTTTAGGATGGATTTTTAGACCCACGTCTTAAGCTCGTGTGAACCGCAGCACTGACACGGTTCTTATGGAAATAATGGTGATTGGATGCGTCTAGTGGCTTTAATTTTTTTTTGTTTCTTTAATTTCAGAAGTCTGTCGGTCACTTCAATACGTTCAATTTTACAATTTTTACTCTGTACGATTAATAAACTTTGAACCTGAAAATAGCGTAATCTTGTGCTGGTTTGCCAAAATTTTCTGAACCCCTCTCCACGAAGGGGATGCCCCATCAGGAAATATCACATTACGCCCCTTTAATCAGCCAAGGGTCTACGCCCTCAGATGCGACCCAGTCCGACCCTGACTGCACGGATGCGCCTTGTCCTCATGAGACCTTGTCTCCACCAGTGACGTGGCGTGAATTGTGATGTATCGATTGTTATGCCATTTAAACCTATGGTAAAGAATCTATTATTAAGGTGTTCACTGCGAACACCCTAATAATCGATCCTTTTCCATAGGTTTAAATGGCATAACAATCGATGTATCGCAAAGCACGCCACGCCACTGGTCTCCACGGTACGTTTCATGGGATTTCTCCTAGGGAAAAATCTCACTTCCGAAAATAAGAAAAATATTAAGTTATAGTCAATACTAATCACAGTGCCAACTAAGAGTCATTGTGGAGTCCCAGGAACGACTTAAAAGAAGAGGGAGAAATTTTGTTGCATTGTTTAACAAGGAAAAGCCCAGAAGTTTCATTCCTGCGATTCGAGCCTTGGGGCAAATCCCGCAAATCTCGAGAAACATCCCGCGTGGAGACAAGGCGTAAGTCACATCACATGCATGCAAAACAGCTGAAACCGGAACCCCCGCCCGACGTTATGGGTCTTGAGGCGGCAGAAACAGAGTAAATATCGATGGTGAAATTGCAGAAATGCGCGTATCTCGTTCTGTCCCCTTCCCTCTCCGTTGATCCGACGCGCCTGACGCACAACGTGCTCTCCTCAGTGTTTTCCGCCTACAGCATACGTAAGCTGATCAGCTGTGCCGTGTTTTTATGTATTTTTGGGAATTCGCTGGTTTTGAAAAGATGCATGCTAAATGCTTAATCGAGGGCCCTCCAAAGTGATTTTTTCATAGCGGCGCGCGGCGTTCATTTCCATTATCCATGCCCGGTGCACTGAAAACAAAATCTCGGTGTATTTACTGAGAAAAGGGTAAAATTACCAAGAATTCAGGGTTCTAGTTGATCTCAGTTTTTTCTCGGTAAAATTACCATTTATGGGATTGGTAATTTTACCGAGAAATCTCGGTAAAATCATTGAACTTTCTCGGTAATTTTACTGAACCTTGGTAAAAACGCCAATATTTTTCAGTGACTGTGGTAGAATTACCGAGATAAAATGGCAAAGTTACCGGGAATTGATTACCAATAAAAGTTGTACTCTTACCTGAAAAAAAAACCAGTAAAAATACCGGTTTCTAGGTAAACGTACCAGTCTCTCTTGGTAAAATTACCAATAATTGGTAAAAAAAGTGAGATGGTAAAGGTACCAACGGACCTTGGTAAAAACGCCGAGAATTCGTTTTCAGTGTGGGTCCACCCCCGAGGGGTTGACTCCTTGTATGCCAGTTGGGGCAACCCCCTGGGGGTAGGGCCTCTTGGATGTAATTTGGGCTAGCCTTTGAGGGTTGGGATCCTTGGTTGTTAGGTGGGGCACCCACGGGGGGTTGGGCTTCTTGGATGCCAAGGGGGGCAGCCACTGGGGCTTGGACTTCCTGCATTCCAGGTGGAGCACTCCCGGAGGCCGGGCTTATTGGATGCCCAATGGGGCACCCCCGGAGGTTTTGTACCCTAAAAAAAAACGTATGACATTGTTGAAATTCGTATACCATTACTTGGGCCAATGATTTGCCTTCAATTAGCCGGCTATGCAAAAGACTGTCGTGGCGCACGAATGGTGGTATCAGGATTTCGCATTAAGATTACACAAAGGTTGAAGGCGCTCTGCTGTATCGTATCTGAGTGGCCCCCTACTACAATGATGTTACCAAAAATGTTCAGAATTTTGGAGTCTTCAATCGAGCCGTAATTTTGGAAGATGCCCGAGGAACATTATTTTACGTTTCAAGATTTGTTTTCGTCTGTAAGTCTTATTTAAAAAAAAGAAGGTCTAAACGCTCGGTTCAGAAAGTGGTTTTAAAGTGTTCCCACTCTGGTCATCGTATTCTCATTCCTGAGAGAGTCGCCGTTTACAAAATCGCAACTTACTCAAAAGCAGTTGTGAACTCAATAAGTTTCACACGGATAAAATGAGCTTTCGACGAATGTTGACGTTCTCACTGTATCCTAGAGAGAACAGACTTTTTTTGTAGTCCTTTCTTCGAACCCTCTCTCTGCATGTAGACTTTTCAGATTGTGGCGGACAACATTTTGTATTCCGCACGCAAACGCGCTGAAACAAAAGTGTTTGAGAGACTTTCGAGAGAATAACTGAGGCCTTTTTTAAAAGACTAGGAGCGGTAGCGACCCCGTCAAGCCTATAGCGATCTCCAACCGAGAATGGGATACCAATGACACAGTACCTGAAACTTTTTGGCGGAATCATACGTCCTTTGATCACACTTTTTTGTAACCCCTCTCCCTCTCTTTTTCTGCGTGCATACAGTAGCAGTCATGGTTTCATCTCCGTATATAAGCACAATACCTACATTCTGACTAGGTGAGTTATAAATACGCAGCTTTAAACCGTTTAAGTTTGTAGATGCATTTTCTACTTTTGTGTTGAGTCCATCAGCGAAGAAGATCCGTTGATTTTTTCAAACGATGCATGTATAAAAATGTGCAATTTTAAATTCCTGAATTATCTTACTCTATTTTTTTCTCTTTGCGTAAAAACTTAATGATCGTTTTTATCCTTCTTTTGAGTTAGGAAAACTATTTTTTAAAGATTGAAAATTTGGTATTGTTCTGGTGACAGCTAGAGTACCTGTATACAGGAGAGTATTGCCATCTCTATGCCGCTCTCTGATTGGTTCATCGGTTTTAGGTTATCACGGAGCTCCGAAGTTGAACCAATGTAAGCAAACTCGACCCAGAGAAATACGTATTATCGGCTGAGAAATAAATGATAATCACACTCAAAGCTTAATTTTCGGCAAAAATTTCCATTAAAGATGGATCCCAACTCAATTCAGAGGTTGACCATAAAACAATTTGTATCACATCCAAAATCACGTCCAGAACTTTGTAGAACTTTGTCACCATCTTTTTTGTTTACATTGGGCCAAACTAGAAGCGGAGGGACTGGGGCAAAGACATTGAATCGGCTGGGGTTTATCTACGTTGGTCCAACTTTGGCGCTCCATGATAGCCAACCAATCAGAGAGCGGCACACTTTTTCTGTAATAATGGATTGAGATGACAATACACTCCTGTGTACACCCCCTCTGGTGACAGCGCCCAGAACACAGAGACCAATGATCACTGCGATCGTTTAATGAGATCCTCTGAATATTCAGTCGTTCAGTCTGCCTGTCTCCATTGTATCGTGCCGTTCGAAATCTCTACGAAAATTTGGGTTTAAGCCTGTGAAAGTTTATCTTTATTTTATTTTTCTTTCCTTTTAAAGCTTCGTTCAATGACACAGCATCAAACCCAGTCCTCCGTAATTTAAGTGAACATCGATGCCAACTGCTTGTATAAGGTACTTCTGTTAAATTTTTGACGAATATAAGCGTTTCGCGGTACATTTCTTTTGATCCTCACAAAACAATCTCTCAATATTCAATAGTTTATCACTTCAAAGTCATTAGAGTGTGTTTTTTTTTTTTTATGTGTGTGGTGTCCAGTATGCGGTGGATCTCTCTCGTTCTAACATTGATGTTTATCATTAAAGTTCTAACTGATAATCCAGATCCATTCCACAAAGAATATCTACAAATATCTGAGCCGGAGGACGAGTTCAAAGTCACAGGAGCTGGAGCATTTCACGAAGTCTTAACGAAAGAGGTAAAACGCTCTCTTTCAAAACCATCTAGATCTAGATCCAACCATCCAGATAACCATCAGACTATCCATGGTGAGAGTAACCATGTACACTGGATTTTGCATTGCGACAAACCTTTGTATTACATTTCTCTTTTCCGATGAGGGCCTAATCATCATTTTTGCACAGAATCACTGGCCTTGGACTCGAATCCATTCAAATGCTTATAATACACTTACTTTCATAAATGCGAAGTATAACCCAACACCTGAGATAGAGAATTTCATAAAATAAAGGAAATTTATGTTTTACGTAAAATAACGAGCGAGATTTCTAGAAAATTTAATAAAACCTCAATGCAAAAACTGAAAAATTGAAAGTCAAGGCTGTTTCCCATTAATATTTCCGGATAGTTATATCGGACCTTTAGACATTTCACCTAAAATTCACATAAAATTTAACATGAAATTTCTAAGATCATCTTATCTTGACACTGGACTACATTTTGCAAAACGAATCCACTATCACCGACTTATTTCAAAGACAAAATACGATCCCTTTATACAGCAGATAATTCCGTGAGAGAGCCAAAAATAGTAGCTTCTTATAGAAAAGTAGTCCAATTTTGCGGGTATTTTTGAGGGTAAAAGAAAGATGCTATCATTTTTTTTTAAAAAAAAAAAAAAAAAAAAAAAAAAAAAACAGCACAAAGATAATTCATTGCCTTATTTCATCACATATTTTTTGTGGAGAAGATATGAAAACCAAATGGTCGCCATTTCAAATCGACCACTGAATCTTTTGGATTGATGCGCATCGACAGTTGCAAGGTGCTGTGGATGATAACGCCTGGAATGCCTGGATGCAACAATTCGTGCTCGAGGGACGTCCGTGCAGCATGCATGAAAATGAAGGCGCTATTGTGACTTTCCATGCTCAGTCACACGCAGCATGTCACGCCCTAATCCTTATGAATGAATCGTGCTCTTGAGATTTTTTACTACCATTCACAGGTTCATCCACAGATACTTTACAAAAAAGTATCAATTGTTGGAATTTTTTCATTGGTAACATGTGAGATATTATGGTATTTTTCGGATCCAATGTTTGACTAAAAATACCAGCAAAATTCGAACTCATTGGTCTAAACAATCTGTTAGGATGTTTTAATTTCGCCTCGGTTTTCCCTCTTATTTTTTTAAGCTGTTCTGCATTAATTTTGCTAGCCAGCATTGTGCTCAGTGCTTAAATTAGTATCCTGATGTCAAAAACCTCCATTTAGCGGTAAGTTTTTGCAAATCGATAAATTGAAGATTGATTTTCGATGGAGAGAGCGTCCAAAGAGACTTATATTATGTGTGCGTCAGTGGCGTGGTGTGCTTTGCGATGTATCGCTGTTCTGCCATTTAAACCTATGGTAAAGAATCGATTACCAAGGTGTTCGCTGCGAACACCCTAATCATCGATCCTTTTCCATAGGTTTAAATGACATAACAATCGATATATCGCAAAGTACGCCACGCCACTGGTGTGCGTGGTCGCCCATGAAAACTCTTTCAATGTACTAGGAACACAAAATATTTCTCAGAACCTCTCAGTGAGGCATTATATAGTCTCTTGTGAAGTGACATCGCATTTCCACGAATAATAAACAACGCCCCAAATAAAAGCACAGTCTCCTCTGTGTGCGGCTGCCGCGCCGGTCGGCGCGAAACGCACAGCGCCTACAAGACCGCAGGAATGCTTCACGCATTGCGCCAAACACAGTGCGGTCGCTGCGGTGGTCGGCGTCAAGCGCATTCTCAGCGCCTACAAGACTATGAGGATACTTCGCGCATTGCGCGTTCGCTAAAGTGCGCGCTTAGTCGTTGAAAATTCGTAATATCTTGCCGGACCTACCGCGGTCCACAACATTTCCGACCGGTGTGCACCTCGCGCCTGCAATTCTAGGATCGAGGGACTGAAGAGATTTTACACAACTGAATTGTATTTTAGTCTATAGAGTCATTGATGTCGAAGCTCGTTCTTCTTTTTCTGATCGACTGTCGTTAGAATGAGAGACCTCTCTATTGCGAGGAAATCAGCCGGTTCCTCGAATTTCCGCTGAGGAGAGAGATTACTGTATTATTAATTTCCTCCCCTTTTCAATCTTACCCAGCAGCAATACATGAAAGCAATCAAATAGTGCAAATTACTGCTGCATGGTTCATTTGTGTATGTAAATCAGCACTGTTTAGACGGAAAAAAGAATATCGCCGACCTTTTTCCGTCTTTACTTTTTGCTCAGTCTTGATTACCTTAAGTAATTAGACATTTTTCAAATAAATCCTGTTTTCACCCCTATAATTTACAGAACATAGTTAATTCCCCTTAACTGATTCGTGATTTTCAATTCGTAGAAGCTGAGCAAAAAAAGATTGAAAAATGCAAGAGCTCTATGGCCTATGGCAGTTATTGTTTTCAAAATCGACGAAGGGGTAGGTACGTATTGCATCTCTTTTATAATTTATAGATTCTTATTTTTAATTTTATTTTTAAAGGAAAATAAGCCGATAAAAACGCTTGGATTGAAAAATCGTGCCTCACTACTTATCTGAGAAACTTTCACGCATCCTTGTTTCGCGTGATGCAGGAACTACCACAGATTTTTTTTCTGATGGTATTTTATTTTATCTACTTACTTTCTGTTCAATCTCCCCTCTTCCTCACAATAGCATTTGCAGTTTAGGAACTGTTCTGCCGTGCAAAGGACAAACGCCGTATGAACCTCCAGGCGTTGCCAAATTTCCTTTGATAAAACACGAATTTTCTGGCGAACTTATGAATATTTTCGCTCTAGTTTTTCAGATAATTTTGTTCGGAATTTCATCTAAAGGTCCCGAAAATTTTGAGGAAAAATATTCTTAACTTTCTTCAAAAATAAACATTTTATTGAGGTAAATTTGGCAACTTTCGAATGTTCATACGGCGTTCTTTCTTAGCACGGCAGTGTTACTCTTCAATTTAGAGGAGTAAACGCACAAGGAAAGCCTCGTCTTAGACCGTGGCTATGTGCTCATTCTTACATTTGGAGGGACAAACTCATTTTTCATCCGTCGTTGACGTCTGTTGGCACTCATTTTTTGCATTTTTTCGGATGCATTGTTTCGAAGATGAGAATCTACTCGACGAGGAGACGATACAAAATAGACTAAAAAAGAGAGGAAAAAAATTCTCAGAAATTTTAGTTCTCTGTTGAGCACAGCGACTAGCTCCCTAGTTATTAATTGTTACTCCGGTAATCAGCCGAGAAATCCGCTCACCAGCCAACAGAACAACTCTACCAGCTGAGCAATGGAGTGGCAAACAAAAGTAGGGAGCCAGTTGCTGTACTCAACAGGCTCTTTTTTACTACCGTTGAGAGGATAAAATAAAAATGTTTCTCGCCAGTTGGCATAAAAAAGGGGGAAAACTCGTAAAGAGAAGGACAAAAACACTGAAGCTTTTTTTTTTTTTTTTTTTTTTTTTTTTTTTTCAAGAGAACAAATGAATGCCATTACTGGAATTTTTCACAGTTTTTTTTTGTGCAGAGAAAAAAGCTCACAGAAATTTTCAAGAGCTTACATTAGTCAATTTTCCATTTAGAAAATGAAGTATGACAGGAAATCTGCAACGTCCCAAACCGAGATACGCGGTCTTTTAGTTTCACGTCGATGTGCGTCACCTCTACAAACAGCTGAAAATTCTGATGAAGCTTTTTTGTTTGCTCGGAGACACGCGGATTTTCGGAGAAATAGCTCACATTATAGGTTTTTTAAAGCGTTCCTATAGTGAAATTTAAGAGAGGCGTTCACTCCGCAATTTCAGTCGAAACTTCCTGGAATTTGTAGTTCAATGATCTGCAACGGGAGGGTATAGAGCGAAACGTTAGTGACTGGTTTAAGTGCTTTTTTTCTCGAGTTTCCGTAAAATGTTTCATCGGTCGTGATGTTACAGAATTTTGAAAATATTCTCTGCAATACTTTCACTTGGACCGCGTTAAACAGAAAGGAACCAAGCCACATCATCTTTTGCCAAATTTAAGGTGATTCGATGGACGCCATATTTTGTGTCAGAACGGCATGCGACGTATCGCATCAATTGGTTCGATTTTTTCAGCTACGCGTCATTTTTCTCGAATTTTGAGATCGCAGTTCTGTTGTCAGCAGACTAAAGCACTCACTTACCAATTTTAACAAAGAAATTCAACGTAATAAAGGCGTGGTTTTTTCAGAGAGAAAACATCGCATTCGATACCTACTGATATCGAAACTGCACTCGAATGCGATATTTTCTCTCTTAAAAAAACACGCCTTTATTACGTTGAATTTCTTTGTTAAAATTGGTAAGTGAGTGCTTTAATTAGTCTCCTGACAACAGAATTCGAGAAAAATGACGAGTATGTGAAAAAATGGAACCAATTGATGCGATATATTGCATGCCGTTCTGACACAAAATATGGCGTCCATCGAATCTTCTTAACAGGTAAATTTCATTTTTTACGAGAGAACGTTCGTGCGGATTCCTTTGAAAATTTGAAGGAATTTGCTTTGTATTACGGAGAAAATTCACTGAAATTTGCACAAAATTCCGCACGACCGTTTTCATGTAAAACATTAAATTGCCCGATCAAATTTGGCAATAGCTCACGTGGCTTGGTTCCTTTCTGTTTAACGCGGTCCACTTTTCCTCACATAATAGAGACCCCAATCCGTTCAGTGAATGTACAAGGAAATATTTAGATTGTTTTTTATCGAAATTGAGGGGAGGCATACCGGTCAAGCGTTACGTAATGTCTTAGGAAGGTCTAGCACTGTATTACGAAGCCTTACACAGGGGGTGGGGACTGGGGGTATCAAAAAACCGCAAATTTAGCGTTACGTACCTTAGGGACGGCCCCTAAACATTGTATACATTTTTTTGGTTTAAAATAAAGGTTAAATTTGTTTTAATCGTTCTTTGAAGGGTGTCCATCATCTTCGAAATGTAACATGGCGCTGAAAGTAATGGCCTACTATGAGGCAACTACTTGTATCAGGTTTAAAGAATGGACAGGCGAGACTGATTACGTGACGCTCATCGACTGGGAGGACCCGTTGTAAGTTGGTAAACTTAGCTAATAATGTGACTGACCTTAATTTCTTAACACAAAGCTGAAATTTATGAATCCGAATTATTTCTATTTTCATAGGGCTAGCATCAAGCAGAACCTTCGTTCAGGGCATGAATGAACGACTAAGACCACAGTTTAAAAAAAAAAGAAATCTTGGTCAAAGTGCTGCAGAATTTTAATAAAGCTGTTCTACTGCGTTCAGAACCCCCTGGTCATAAGTTCAGAGTGGCAGCATTTTTTTCTCCTCTTCTGCCACCCACACATTTTCGAAGACACCTGGGATTACCCGAAAAATAAGTTTAAATTGGGGTTTCTTTAACTTTTGCGCCCTTATATTTGTCCCGGGCGGATTTTGGCGGCGTCTAGAGAATATCAAATCATAAAAGTACCTAACATGCAACGCATAACGCCTAAAACACGGAGCGCTTCGATGAAATGGACTGCGAAGCGGTCAGGGAGCTTACTCCCCAGTAATTATGTATTTTCATTACGCACAGTCGAGAAGCATTTGTTGATATTGAGGGGCGGAGGGATTTAAAGCGTCTTCGAAAAGTCCCTCATAGTCAGAATTTTTGCTGATTTTTCACGCTTGTAAGCGAGCACAAGGGAAAATTCTGAGAGTCCATGTCGGTTTAAAAGGGTTTTACCTCCACTCCATGAGCTCTTAAATCTGGAAATTCCGATCATTATTTTCTAGAAATCGTTCCGTTTTCCCGAGAATCTGATATCCGAGGAAAAGAATGTCCAAGTCGGTTTTACAGGAACAGACGGATTCATTATAATTTTCAGGCCTTCAAATGGTAATTTTCATCACCTTTGGACTACGGAGTGCGAAAATGTCATACAAACTTTTCTAGAACTTACCGGAGTTTTGAAAAACTCGATTTTTCTGAGAAAATGGCGTAGAAAAATTTCTGGGGCCCTCCGCTACACGAAAAGGGTCAAAAGAGAGCACCTTGAAGCACCTTTAAACGTATTCATGCTGAATGTAACTGTGTGCATTGAGTTTGCGTGCAACAGTGGCGTGGCGTGCTTTGCGATATATCGATTCATCTACCATTTGAACTTATGAAAAATAATCGATAGATAGGGTGTTCGCAGCGAACACCTTGATAATCGATTCTTTACCATACCCTCAAATGGGGAAATATCGATAATCGATCATTCACGCCACGCCACAGACATATAGGTAGTTCCTTTTAGCATAAAAATGTCCATTTCAACGAATCGATGGCGAGACTGCAAAAATGAGTATCTTGGTTACGATGTTTGAAAATCTACGCTTTTATTTAATATTAAAGGGAGATGAAACCAACATCATGGCTTGAAATTGTCACAGAATATTCTTCACACGGAGAATTTCTTCGAAGTTTTCGATAGATGACTTTAAGTGGTTTTCAATGAAGAAAATAAAGTATGACATGAAACCTGCAACGCTGCAAACCGATAATCGTATTTCTACAGTTTCACCATCGGAATATAAGACTCTTTCTGAGATGCGCTAGATTAAGAGCATTTTGTGTTCTTCCTAAAATATAGACGCAAAAAAGCAGATTCCACTTCCAAAAGAAAATATAAATTTAAAAAAAAATTAGAAACTAAAAATAAAAATCTATGAAAATCGAAATCAAACAAAAAGCTAATCTCGCTGGTCACTTTCACTCTTTTACGACCTTTTTTACCTCCTGTTCTTTTAGTTTTTCGAGAAAAAGGTCCAATGGCGTAGAGAGGGGGGGATTACAGGACAATGCCCTCTTTCCTTTTCATTTAAGAGACGACTTATTATATTGTAGTTGTTCATACTAACATAATTTTTAAATTCTGCTCCTCTCTCCCCCTCGACCAAGTTTGACTTCTTCTGAATAACATTTGACCCTTCGTCCCCTAAGATTTATCTGAAATGATGTCCCTGTTGAAAGCCCTTATTTTTAGGCGGTTAAAAATATCAAATCAAGTTGCTCCCTGTAATATGTTTGGTGTGTTGAATTGATTGATTTTTGAAGAGCCTGCTTAGCCAACGTTGGCAGACTCGGCGGTCAACAAAGGGTGCTGCTACCATCATCTTGCTGGAATGAAGGAATTTTACTCCATGAATTCGGACATGTTCTCGGTTTTTGGGATGAGCATAATCGTTATGATAGAGACAAATACATCCGCGTCCTCTTCGACAACATTAAACCGGTATAAATCTGTGCTCCTCTCACTGTAACTCATCATTTGTTCATACATGATTTTCTCTATATAGGTATAAAGAAGGAGAACCAAAATTTTTAGAACTCACTCAAAATAAATCTTTTTCATCCTCTTCTAATTTTACGAAAGAGAATTGAGCTCAAAAAAGGGGAACCCCTAATTTTTGGGAGATTACCAACCTTTCGAAAATCAGGTGATTCGCTCTAAGGTCTAGTTATTTAGTCCAATTGGCGTTTGATTCATCGTTTGTTTAGGCAAAAAATCTGGACAGTATTTGATAGAGTACCTGTATAGCGAGAGTATAGACAGATGTGAAACTCCGAAAATCCATCAGGCCTTCACCGCGAATGCTTCCGCGAATAAAGTTAGGGCCCAGAAATGCAGCCAACCTATGAATTTCAATTATCCAGAGCGATTTATTAATACAGTTGTTACGAACCATCGTTTATAAAGCACGTATTTGACTTAGTTTTTGCATAAATTTACTCATTTTTGTGGAAGAACGCTCATTTATGTACTTTCTTAGCCATCTTCGTTAGAATTGGAATCTACAGACTGGCAGTGAAATTTTGTGCGTTAGAAGTTGGTTAGAAGGGTGGCTGCACTTTTGGGCCTTAAGCCCTCCATGAAGCGATCTGTCCATACTCTCGCTATACAGGTACTCTAGTATTTGAGTGTTCTTGCAAATGCGAATTAGAACCCTCCCGAAAAGTAATTGTTCAAGGTTGACATTTTTCTCGAACTGACTCTTTTCAATGTTTTTTTCCTGAAGTTTCTAACTTTTATTTCATTTATTTTACTACCAGGCAGCCCATCCGTTTTTCAATAAGGCCCCTAAAAACTTAATTAATATCCTGGGAGAGCACATGGACTTCGACTCAATCATGATGTACACCATGTATGCCTTTGCTAAGGTGAACAAAATTAATGTCCTTCTTTTTTCGCACAAATCATAACTACATACTACATTTATGCCCTCGGGGTGAAAATTTCAGCAAACAAAGTGAGATGTCTTTAAAAAAAAACTTACGAAAAATTCATCGATTCATATTTAGTGCGCTATTTTAGCAGGACATTTTTCTGCATGGACTTGAAATACAATGAATTTCATTCAGAAATCCAAACATTTAGCTGATGGTACATTGGGGGTGATGTTTTTACACACGTTTCATCCTTGTACGATTAAATTCATTCATAGTCCAAAAAACAATAAGGATATACACTGATGAAGTAGTAATGAGAAGCAAGTGCAATTTTTCAATTCCATTCTATCGGAATACATTGCTGCTCTTGAATAGACAAAAGCAAAGAAACTGAGCTAGGAAGGCAGGACTTGTTCCAACGAACTGATAAAATATATTTTTAGCCAAGCTTACCTATTTATTTACGCATCATACACTTTGACTTTGATTTAATCGTAATTAGACCACACTTAGAGAAAACATAATATCAAGTAAATGCTACCGTTATTCGTAAAATCCCTTATTTTATACATAGACCTCATAAACAAATTTCTCTAATAAACATCAATGTCATGTCAATTTTTGTTTCTCTTTTACCGCTAGGATAGAAAATCTCCCAGTTTTGAGCCCGTCGAGACAGGAAAAGTGATCATGGATATATGGAAAAAAAACAAACTGAGTGCCGGAGATATCCGAAGAATAACCAAAATGTACAGGTGCAAAGGTGCGTTAAAGTACATACATCAGTGCAAAAGTAAAAGTTTTTTTTTTCCCAGTCACAGTACCTAACTCGTTTTCCTCTAAAACATCAAGTTAAAAAATTTAGCTCCTTCGTACATTTTTAATCATATGTGTGGGCCCTCTAAAGAAAATCATTCTATATCCCTAATATCTTAGACCAATATTTAGTCCGTAAGTCACGATGAAGTCGTCCCTTACAAATGTTGAATTATAAGACAACTTAGTGGTCGAACGGCAAACAAATTCTTGTATAAGATCTTCATTAAATTAGTGTGCTTTTTTTCGCAGGTAAAAATCAAAAACAAAGATTTCCACTCAACGTCATTTGTTCTTTCGACGATAGCCCCTGTGGGTTCAAAGGCGCCGGGACAGATGAAAATAAAAAGGCTTGGTCATGGACTCCAAAAAGAAGAGGTAGGGTCAGGGTCAGGGTCAGGAGAACTTGAATAATCCAGCTCAATATGACACCGATGCGACCAGAGCTGTTACATTTCATGAAATTTATACCCGTACAAGTTTAGAAATTTACGAGAACTTTTTGGTATTTCCTCGGCACCAAAGCTGCATTTATTCTCATGGAACAATATAGATTAAACCTTTGAGCGATTGCAATGCATGCAGTATATGTGTAAGCGTGTGGTAAGTGTGTAAGCTAAAGTGTGTTCTTTTATCAAGATGAAGATGATAAATTTGATGGGGTATTCTTATTGAAGTGTTTCTGGGTTAGGATGTGCAGGGCCGCAGCTCACGTTTTAGAAGGGCAACGTTGTCATACATTAAAACATTTAAAGCATTTTTCGAGCTATTGACAATGTTACGATAAAAATCAGTTATAGTTTACTTTATCGGCGCACTGGGCAACGCTGGAATTAACTTGAAGTGTAAATGAAATAAGCAAAGCAAATAGCACCAAGCGAATTCCATTTTAACCCCTGGATGCAACTATTCGAGCTTCACGACTATCCGGGTTGCATAAGCACGGAAGCCAAGGCGTTTTGACTCTCCGCAGGCACCCACCACTTACTACTTCACCCACGGCGCGGAAGCAGGCTGTAGTGCGAGAATCCAAAATGACAGAGCGTCTTCAATTCTTAGTTAACACTTCAAAAACATCCACTACGCATAAATAGTTGCACACATGCGCGCAGTATTTGAGTAAATCTTTCGTGTTTCAGTTTTGATATAGCGATCACGGAAAAAACGATATAGTGCTGAGCACTAACTGTTCAGATAAAATGGAGTCAGTTAGCATGGCAGTAGTGCTGAGCCTTACAACATTATGGTCCAGCTATACAGACTGTAGGTCTGAGCAGTACTGCCATATCAGCTGGGTCAATTTGATCTATCAGTTAGTGTTCAGCACTATATCATTTTTCCGTGATGTGCTGAGCGTGATTTGTAGAGCAACTTTTCTTGGCTAAGAGGTATCATCACAGTATAAACGAAGAATTGAAGGCGTTCTGACATTTTGGATCCTCTATATTTCCAAAATTATTTTTTAAATTGCAAAAAATCTTTAAATCGTTCCAAAAATTTTTCACCTTTCTGAATATTTAAACATTGTCCTTAGCGCTCATGTGATAAAAATAGCAACAGCACGTTCATTAGATTAACTTCAAGCTATGCATTGCAGAAATCCTGAGCTTTTGTGTGCCCGTACGATATTCATCAATAATGTTTATACAGGGTGTTTCAGATCACCCGTACCAGGCCTTTTTCTCGGTTGGTTTAGGTCGTACGAAGTCGGAGACCGCGGGGTTGAATAGGGAATTGACCCCAAGGAATCCGAATTTCGTGGTCCCGAAACCCCCCCACCCCCCCTTGAGGGGTAAAGGGGGGGGGGTCACGATGCTAAAAGTCACGGTTCCCGGCCGAATTGCGTATAGATCGCATCAGAATTGAAAAGCACGGAAAATTTCACGTGGAATTGACCCCTAAAAATCCAAAATTGGACCATCCAAGGCCCAAAAATGATCCCCTAAAGAGGGAGACAGTACCCCCCTCCATAATTTCTCTTTGGTCTCAAAATTGACGTAGATTCTCCAGTAAAAGACAGTTTCCTAGGTAATCGACCTCGAGAAATCCAAATTTCATGGTCCCGAAGCTCCTCTAGCTCCCCTTGGGGGGTAAACGGGGGGGGCCAATTTTAAAAATTGGGGCTCCTTTCCGAATCGCAAATTGATTGCATCCAAATTGAGGAGCAGAACACATTTACATCTTAAGTGACTCCTAAGAGTTCTAATAGACCCCATGAACGGCAGAAAGTAACTCCCCTCGGATTCCGTGGTGTCAATTCCCTATTCAACCCCGCGGTCTCCGACTTCGTACGACCTATACCAACCGAGAAAAATGCCTGGTACGGGTGGTCTGAAACACCCTGTATAATGTGAGAAAATCATTGAGTTTTCTGTCCTGTCAGGTTACTCTGACGCCATTTTACTTTCAAACATGGTAATTTGTTTTGCTGCTGGAACATATTGCTCCGTGTCGGAAGGTTCCTCTACTTGCGGACGGTTGCACGCTAAATGCTTTTAGTATATCTTTAGAATGCTTCAGACTCCTTTTTATTTTTATTTTTCAATTTGTTTTCCCTTTATTAATTTAACAGACACCGAGACTCGCCAATTAATAGGTGGATACCTTTACAGTGACGTCGGGACAGCTAGACATGATGATGCATTTGCTTGGACAATTAATTTCCACAGTGTAAGCCCCCTTGATGAATACAGAAGTAAGTTTGGCTGCGTGAGTTTCTCATACGTAGTCTTGGTCGATTACAGAGTTACATTGAAGGTAAGTGAATCGCACGTTAGGAGCTTTTGAATACGAATGACCAGTATCTTTAGGTTTGCCATATCAGTTTCGTTGAGTTGACATTTAATTTATCCTTGAATTTTTTTATGAAAAATGTGTCATTTACCTACTATAGGAAATTTTCACGATAACGATGACAACGACGAAGATGACGACGACAACAACAACAACAACAACAACAACAACAACAACAACAACAACAACAACAACAACAACAACAACAACAACACCACCAACAACAACAACACACAAAAAAATCCCTCATATCTTGAATATTATAATTTTCATATTTTAGAGTAAGGTGATTCGATTCGATGGACGGTATATTTTGTGGCAGAAAGACATGCGATGTATCACATAGATTGGTTCCTTTTTTTCAGCCACTCATCAGTTTTCTCGATTGGAGATCGCAATTCTGTTGTCAGGAATAATTCACTTTCAAAACAAAAAAATTCAACGCGATAGAGGCGTGGTTTTTTTCAGAGGAAAAATATCGCATTCGAGTGCATTTTCGATATCAGTATAGAATGCGATATTTGTCCTCTGAAAAAACCACGGATTTATTACATTGAATGCGTTTGTCAAAATTGGTAAGTGAATTCTTTAGTGTCCTGACAACAGAATTGCGATCTCAAAATTCGAGAAAAATGACGAGTAGCTGAAAGAATGGAACCAATCGATGCGATATATCGCATGTCGTTCTGACACAAAACATGGTGTCCGTCGAATCACCGTTTATGCTTCCGCAAACATAGTGTAAGATTGGCTTTGTATGTGCAGTTACTCATGACGAATTTGGACTTTTCCCATCAAAATGTCTTCGATGAAGAATCGACAATCGAGCTGTGGAGAGTGACGGTGGATCAAAATGTCAGGCGTTTCCTTCGGTGGCAGAGGGTGTCAGTCCCTATCTCCGTGACTAATCCTTTTGCGGTATGGAAGTTTTATTCAAATCAGTGGCGTGGCGTGAATTGCGATGTATCGATTATTATGCCATTTAAAACTATGGTAAAGAATCGATTATTAACGTGTTCGCTGCGAACACCCTATTAATCGATCCTTTTCCATAGGTTTAAATGACAGATCAATCGATATATCTCAAAGCACGCCACGCCACTGATTCAAATTGTGACAAACGGTGAACATTTAAAGATTAGAGACTTTACAGTAACGATATAAGACAGTATAGGCCGCATTCAGTAGAAGGGAACCAACGCGATTATATTTTTTTAAAAATTGTGCATCTCCCATATTCATCTGAGGAAAATGCTTAGAACGGCAAATACCTAGTGTTAATTGGACGCATTTCTATCAAACGGAAGTAAGCGCCAATTTAAGTTCCTTTTGAGGAATTTAGAATCCCGGATAGCGCGTTCTATCAAACGGACCTAAGCGCCATGGAAAAGCATTGCGAGTATAGGACGGAATAAGCCGGACGCCCGATTCCGCCGCCAATCCAAGCCCCCCTCTACCTCCCTCACCCTATGGCGCTTAGGTCCGTTTGATAGAAATACGTCCAATTCTTCTACCAACAAATTTAAATATCAAGAAAATATTTTTTAAATTTTGAAAAAAAGTGTTAATTTCTAAAGCAGACTTTTCAAGTTAGTTTAATTAATGCACATTGTATATATTTAGTCATTTTTAAAACAAAAAGAAAAATGCAATTCTTCACAACAGGGTAATCGCGTTGATTCTCCTTTGCTGAATGGGATCCACATTAACATGATATAATGTAAAATGTAAGTAAAATATTAACATAATCTCAATTCAACGCTCCTTTTTTCATGCAGAGAAAAACGAAAAAATTGAAATTCATGTCTTTGGGACTTACATCATTTTCCACTCGTGCATTTATCTTCGTAGGTATCGAAATGGGACAAGAAAAGGCGGAGACCAGACGAGGCTGAAAAAACAAAATAATTTATGAAACACGGGACGTTCCGACCGGTCTCCCGATCATAATCAATCGTCAAAAAAGAATTGAAAAATCCAAAAAAACAAAATTTCAAGAAAACTTTAAAGCTTTCAGATTTTTAAATTCCTTTTTGACGGTTGATAATGACCGGGGGACCGGTCGAAACGCCCCGTGTTTCATAAATTGTTGAGTTTTTCCAGCCTCGCCCCCGCCTTTTCTTGTTCTATTTCATATGTATGTTCTCGGACTGCCATAGTGTAATATATATGTCACGGGTAACGTAATACAGCCGGGTAATGTCGGCACTATAACCAGTCCTCCTGAGTAATGTCTAAAAGTAGATTAAAAATACATATTTTCGGTGATTTGTGAGTGAAATAATGCATGGGTATTTGGTTTTTATAATCAAATTGGAAAAAAAAACGTAAATACTGTGGAGTTATTTATTTTCAATTTGAACAAGCTTTGTGAAGAGGTATACGGAACAATTTAAATTTATTTTAAAATAGGTACGAAAATTAATTTTAAATGATGGAGATTTAAGATAAAAGTAATTTAACGGAATGTGAATAATTTAGTTTCCTTGGGTTTTTTCGACATTACCCAGTAGGACTGGTTAATGCCGACATTACCCGGCTATATTACATTACCCGTAACATATATATTTAATATCCTGGGGATTTTTTTGTCCTCCTTCGGTTTTGACAGTTTGTGCTAATTCGATCTCGGAAACTACTGGACCGATTTACTTCGGATTTGTTTTGAATGAAAGCTCTTAGGCTCTAGTTTATCTTTAACTTCGTACGAATGCATTTGATTCCAGCTGACTTTCAAGTCCAAGTTTGAAGATAAAACCGCGACAGGATCGATTTGGTTGGATGATTTCGAGTTGAAGTACGCACCGTGTTTGAACCCGAGGAGTATTGCCTCCGAAGTTGACCATCAGAAATCCAGGCGCGAAGTTCCTAAAAGTATCTTGATGCAGATACTTGAGAGAATCGACAGGTTTTACCGAGACCGAGACAGTAACAGCCGACGTTCAAGTCTCCTGCGTTATTGGTCCCGCGCCTCCAGCAGGCCATAGAACCATCGACGGTTGCATACACTCTAGGAGTTCCCAACCGGATCATCATTTCCGTGCTCATTCGTGCGGAGTGGAAACTGTACAGGGTGTTTCCAGATCATCGTATTTCCAACATCGTATTTCCAGATTTCAAGAATCGAACCATCAGGTCCAAATACGACTCTCTTGTATTCTAACCCTTCAAAACATTGGAATGATCGGGCTGGCTATGATATTAAGTATGGAAAAAACGATGGTAAACATCATTGTGTCATTATGTAATTGAATTATGTTGCATTTATCATTGGCTTGAAGCTCGATGTTTATCGATGTTCAACGTACTTTTTTAAAAGCTTCCGTGATTTTTCCTCTCTTTGCGAAGAGAATTCTGTGAAAAATTCAAGGAGTGATGTTGATTTGCTCCGCTTTAAAAATAACTATACTAGCGGCGATTTTAATCACCTCAAATGAGATACGCGGTTTTATAGTTTCACGGTGAAATGGCGTGCACACCTATGTGTATTTTAAAGTAGGTATTTAAATGTTTGTGTACCACTGAAAGAGAACACCACTGATTGCTGATATATCGACCCAACTTCAGGGGCCGGGTCGTTGTGGGTTGCACCAAAAGTTTTGGGGCTTGCTTCCGATTTTCGGTTACTAATTTAAGTTGAATTCATCGAGAAGAAGATATTTAGCATGAAAATTGTCCAGCTCATTTATTCAATGACTTTATTTGCTAGCTCCCTACAGGTAGAAGAATATCTTTCTTCCGCAAAGAATGTTAAATGCTTCAATTACTCTGCATGATATGGCATTCGTACTCACTCGGATACAGCGTTGCCAATTCCGACCTAAAATATATTTTTAAGACGATTTAATTGAGTAATTTTGGAATTCACTAACGCGGGAGTCCAGTCGATTGAGTGTGAGAATTTTCATTCCCAAACTAATCAGTGGAAGGGAATCTCTTCTTTCGGGTTAAAACTTTTCATGGGAAATATTTTAAAGAGAGGTCTTTTTATCAATTATCCACAAAATTATGACTTGAAGTTCGGAACGACCCGAGAATACCATTCTTAATTCATGCCTTTTTATTATACATATTTGGACCAAATATATTTTCTACAAAAAGTTTCATCAAATACAGTTAAGAGCGAATAGACGGATTTTAATTTACCATAGTCATAAGTAATACAAATCTTTTTCAAGCATTTGAATATTTGGTTGAGAAATGTTCGAGAAATTTGCCCTCCTGGCTCAGTGATGGCAGGTACCTAATTTTCAATTTCAAAAGGCTTTATGTGCTCATTTTATAAATCAAGTCATCAAAATCCCGTAAAATGAGAAATATACCACATTATTTCCACATTGATCCTTTCCGCAAAAGTACGTCCGATTGAGATTGTATGAACGGGGAGTTTTATTTGTCGACAGTTCGAATTCCGATTTTTCATCAATTTTGACGAGAATGTTTCTCATGCACTGCATGCACTGAGAAAAATCTATGGCTTATAAACCAATTAGTGGTCCTCACGGAAAACCAATAATAGTGGTAAAGGCAATCAATGTATAATAATAGAATTATATACCTGAATAATGTAACAAGGTAGTGAAATGGTGCTAGGTCCACACCATTTCGTGGGGAAAACAAAGCCAAAAATTACCAACAATTTCAGCTAGAGTCAAAAATTTTTGAGCACTAATGAGCGGAATGCTAAGTTGAGTTCACTAACGAGTGTGACCTACTGATGAGGTCTAAAAAGACCCAAAACGTTACGGATCTCTTAGCGTGACCTCAACTTAATATTCCAACGCAAGCTGCTTGAACTGAACGCTCTCAGCCCTCAGTGCCTCAGTTTTGTACTGGTACTCATATTATGGGTGATTTCACGATAAAAGAAATAGTCGTGTGGCCGTAGGTTACAAATGACTTGGGGCGGAACGATTGAAAACCAAGTTGATAAATAAATCGGAATGATGTCCCTTAACTCATCCATGCTATAAAGTATGATAAATTGTGATTGCATTTAATAATATGAGACTTTAAAGGCCGAAAATGTCCGGTCGGTGACGCGTTGCCAACCCCGATTTTGAAGCAAGAGAGCAATTTGAATTAGAGCTCAAACATTTTGACTCTGATTGAAATTTTTGGAAGTTTTTGACTTTGTTTTCCCCGCGAAATGGTGCAGACCCAGCACCATTTCACCACCTTGGTACACACAGTCCGGGCCATTTCTTAGTGTTTTTCCTTATTGATGGTACACCTTAATATATATACCTTAGTATACTTATTATACCTCAGTACCTAGTTTAGTTACCTTAGTTATCTTAGTCACTTAGTTACCTTAGTTGGTTTAGTTACCTAGTTTACCTTAGTATATATATAGTATGTACAGGGTGGCAAAATTTCATGAAAAATAAAACCTTGAAATATTTCATGAAATTTTAGAAATTTATAAAAGATATTGAAAAATACCGGCTCCTTCACATTTTTCTTCAAATGTAACGATTGTGACTTTCCTTTATTTTTGTGTGTTTGAGTGCGGTTTGCATATTCTAGCCCCTGAAAAATATGAAATATTCCACAGCCTCGTGAAATTTCATGAAATCTCTCTCTGAAATTTCCAATCTTTGATTTCTCTCTTACGTTTCATGCCACCCTGACTATGTATGTATACGTCAGTATGGTTCACAGACCGAGAGTCATTGATTCATTTACCACTATTGATGATGTCTCATATGAACCATCAATTGGTTTATTGGTTTATAAAGTCATAGATTTCTCACCTCCTACACTCACAAATAAATCAAATGCGGGAGAATTAACATCGTAATAAAATAGGTGCCTGCATGGCAACATCGAGTCGACAACGGGAAAGAAGAGGAATCCTTGATCGAGCATCGGAGAGTTATTAAAGAAACTCCCAACTATGTCAAGGTCCACCTGTTACCAGGACCTGAGTCAAAAAGTTTTAATTCGTAACTGTAAATACGCTTTACACGTTAAATTCCTTTCATCGCCCTCGCCCGCCGCACGGTGGATCGAGTCAATAGGAGAGGTCGGACAAAATTTAGAAACTTTAAACGCTTATAAGTCAGTTTATCCAAAACTCAGAGGTTCTAAAAGTGGCTCCATTGGTTTTCCCCTGAAATTTTCTTCTAGATACACCCCTTAAAACTTGAAACGTGACGAAATAAACATCAAAATTTGCAGTTTTAGTCAAAAATTTCATGTCCGACCTCCCTAATAGACCGTATTCGATAACGGTTCGATGTATCGTTTGGTTCAAAACAATAGAACAGAACCTCAAACCAAACTATTAGGATTTGAGTTGGAAAAGCTGAAAATGAGAAATTTCCTAACAATTTTACTTTGAATTGGCATTTGATACTCAAAAGAATAAAAAATCTGTTACCAAAGACCCGTTCTCTCAGATTTCTGAATTTACTTTTGAGGCTATGTTTATGTTTTGAACCAATCGATATCGATACAATTTCACCCGTTTGATGTATCGAATATGATCTATTGACTCGATCCACTGTGCGCCGTCTATCGCGTCCGTATCGCGCTCGGTTAACTTATAAAATATCATTTCGCTCACGGAATTATAATGACGTTGCATCATCGCCGAGATTTTTCCCCTGTGAATTTTTGATACGGTTCCTCCTTCGCTTTGTTCCCCGACCGGAGCTTTTTAATTGTATGTATTTAGACTCCAAAAGAAGACATAACAGTGGAAGGTCCGTGACTCGTGTCGGATCAGATGATTGAGTCAAGGAGGGAGCCGCGATAATGCTCCCCAATTAAAACTCCTGAAGTACCTTAAGGGAATGAGAAGTGCTTAACGAAAATGAACCAAATTTTTCGGGTATGGAGGAGGAAGTCTGTGTGATTCTATATTGATTCTCAAACGGAGAAAAAATTCTCGGGGCGTCGATAGCAAAGTCTTATTCGTGATGCCCTAATGGAATTTCTATTGGAGGCAACTGGAATCGGAATCCCTGTTGTCTCAATAATAGGATTCTGATTGTTGTAACGAGAATCCCCTCGGAACAACACGAATTTTGGTTGTCTCGAATGAAAATCCGATGGTGGAATTATTCACAGAAAAATTTTCAACAATGCATGAAAAAAAAAATTTTTAGCAATGAAAAAAGGGTTGAATCGCGAAGGGATGAGAGCCAGAGGGATTTGATTGCATTGCAATATTGGGAAAATTTGTTCGTCCCTATTTATTTATTTCTTTCATTTCTTAACTGGTGGGAGTTTTGTGTTGACGATTTCCGGGCATTTTTGAAACCATGTATCTCCGTTCGCGACGTCGCAGACTCCCTGGTAGATTTCATTTTTCCTCTTGGTAAAACTAGTAATCGTAATTTTTTGAAACCCTCCCTAATTTGTCTTCTCTTTTAGCAGATAATATTTTGCAATATTTTGAAGCTATAAAGTTAGCTCGTTCCTCTTATTCGACAAAATAAAATAGGAGAGGAAATTTTGAAACACAGCAATGCTCCCGTGCTGAGGAAGAACGCCGTATGAACATGCAGGCGTTGCCAAATTTCCTCTTGCAAATCACTCATTTTCAGGAAAATGTTTGAATATTTTTTTACCAATCTCTCAGATAATATTGTATGTAATTTGATCTAGAGTGTCTGAACATTTTAAGGAAAAATATTTATTATGATCTTCAAAAATAAACATTTTATCGAGAAAAAATTGGCAATTCTCGAATGTTCATACGGCGTTCTTCCTTAGAACGGCAGAATGGACATACGTAGTTTCACACCTCGACCATCGATGTGTCATTGATATACTATGAACCTAGGTCCTTATGCCTTCACACCTCGGACTTTTTTCAAAGCTCTCGATGCAGATGAGTTGGTTTGTCGTAAAGTCCACGGAATACCCTCCGGATGACGCTGAAACTGAGCGGCGCGGCGTCGCGACGTCCGTGTAAGAAGAGCCGACGCCGAGACGTGCGTGCAGGGAGCCGCTCTCCGACTGTAAAGTCAACAGAGCAGTGAGAGTCACTTTCTCGGTCACCACCACCAGCACCAACACCAGCACCAGTGAGCGTGTCCATGGTCGCGGCCCATCGTCGCGACGCCGGCCTGGTGTCTTCGTCTCTTCGTCGACAGTGCAGCCTCATGCTCTGCCCTGGCCTGGCCGCTTGCCACCGCCTCCGTTACCTTAGTTACCGACCGCAGTTACCATAGCGACCGCTACCCGCCAATCGGCACGCTTACCAAAAGTTACGGATTTTTTTTCTTTTTTTCCATTTATCAGTGTTACTGCGTTTAGTGGTTTTTGTGCGTTTTCATTGCGTCACCTGAAATCAGCTTATTGCAGGTAAATATTAGTTTTAATTTAAACATGCTCTTCCAAGCATTATTTTATTTATTTATGGCACCTCTTGGACCATCTTCATAGGATCTAATCGTCTTTTTTAGGCCTCTTAAATTATTTTTCTCGCCATCATTTGTATCACCAAAATTTCTAACCGCAGTTACCATGCCGACGTGCCGGCGCTCAGCATGGGGGAAGGGGGGTTCCAAAGGTGCTCGGAAGGTAATTAGGAAAAAGGGGGAGGGTTAAAAAAATCATAAAAATTGCTCAATGTCATTCATGGACGGTCTCTTATAGTCTTCGATCCTTCACAGTCAATACATTTTAACCCCTTTCGTCTATGAATCAATTTACTGATTTGGGAATGCATGTACATAACACGTTCGGATTAAATGCACAGCTCAATATTCTGTGACGGCCATCTTTCATACTAGACTTAACTCAGTTGAAGTGTTCAAATGCTTCGTTTATTTTTTGTCTCACTAAGGACTCTCGGGTGGACCAGGTTATTCGCAAAGGCTCAAACCGTCGTCAGATTGTGTGATATGTGTTAAATACACTAAATTTTCAGCAAAATTGTGAAGTTAAACAAATATGCTGTTGTCGACTGCTCAGGACCCGTTTGAACTTCCGGACTTAGAAAAATTGAATTTCGAATAGTGTTAAAAATATTAGAATGTCGAAACTTTCCGAACACACACCCGCTGCTGCTGGAAAAATGAATTTATTAAAATATTAAAAAAGGTCACTCTTCAGAAAAGTTTATAATAAAATATTTTTCTTTTATACATATTCCCATAATGGAAAGGACGGTTAAAAAAATAGAAAAGCTGACATTTCTCGACATTTCTGAAACACTACATTATTAAAGAAAGTAACCAAAACTAATTTCCAGAGATAAATAGAACCGTCAGTTGTGAAAAAAAAAAAAAAAAATCTCTCTGCATCAAAATGTTATCGTGACACTTAAAGTATCTAGAGTCTCAGACATTTTGGAAGCTCAAGTTAAGTTGCAACCTGCAAAGTTAACTCCCCACAGTGAAATTTTGAGGGAATATTCTCCAATGGACAAAATTCAGTTCATAAAACTCTGTTGGACAGCAATAATTGATCCTTCATCAAAGAGAGAAGCTAAAAGAAAAAAAAACCGATACGGAAAAAAAAGGAAAAAATAAATATAAAATAATAAAAAATAGCTAGACAATCTATAAGAAGAAAACTAAAAAGAAAGAAAGAGAGATAGAGCGAAATGAAGATAAAAAAATATTAATTAAAAAAAGGAAGAAACAAATAAAAACAATAAAAATGTTAAGAAAAGACAAAATATGCAAAAATAAAACAAGAAAAAGAAAATCAAAAAAGAAAAAAAAAAACGGAAAGAAAAAGGAAAATTGCGAGATATGCCAGAAAATTTGCAAAGCCGGAAACCAACTTACTTGTTTCTATAGTTTCATTTTTGACACACCAATCAATAAAGGCGCATGACTTTCTTAATGCTAATGTTTGGATGCAACTATTCGTGGTTTACGATTATCCGTGTTGCCTATACACAAAAGTTGAAGGCGTCCCAACTTTGCCCGCCACGAATGTGACGCGCTTGCATTCGAGACGCCTCAGCCATCTGCCGTGTAAACGTACAAACGATGATGAATTTCTCTTTATACAACACTAGTTCTCGGGAAAGGTCTTGCATTTTTTCTGGAAACTTTTTATTAGAAAACTTCATTTGCAGCCGCATATAAGCAAATGTCTCAATTTGGATGATGATAAGAAATAAAAAAAAAAAAACGTAGCAGAAATTCCTGACAAATATTTGAAATTGTAAAGAACTCACACAGAACACCTTCACATTTCCCGCACCAACGACATACGACATAATTTTGCTCCTGTAATTTATGAAAATTGAGTGTAATATATCAAGCGATGACACAAACGTCAATTGATATCTCACGATTGGCTGCAGCTAAACTGATTTGAGTTATTTGTTGATTGAGGTATTTGTAGAACATATTGAGCAAGTATTTCATCTTCTTCAGTATTAAGAGCCATTGTGCAATTCACCAACTTGAACTCGAACAACAGGTCACGTATTCTCTTACGAACTTGGAACCAGACGATGGCATTAGGTTTCAGTAGCGGGTCTCATCTTAGACGTCTTTCATTGTTGCCATGAAACGTCTCAACATTTTTTCAATCTCATCTTCTTTTTTGGAGAAATGGGAGGATTGATTTAAAAACTTTTTAAAGTGATTTTTCACGGAGGCAGCCCTCCGATTATGAGGGAACTTGACACTTCAATTGGTACGGGGAGCGTGAGGCACTTTTTTTCCGATACAAGCACCGACATTTTGGAGAGGTGAGACCGAGATTTGAGGCGAAAAAATCAAATTGCCGAGTACATGTAAGAACCAATTTAAGATTAAAAAATATAGGTTCTTGGTTGTCATAAGTACATACTGTCTAATACTTTAAAGAAAATTTGGTCAATATTACAAGCCACAATTTTCCTAACCAATTATTTCATACGCATTGGAAATTAATCGTTTCTCACGCTGGCAACAGCACCGGCAAATTTCATCGGCGTCCTGCCCATAAAGTCATGATTAATCATTCAAATGATTTAAGGAGGTCAGTTTTCGAAATATTAGGGTCCCCTTTGCGCCTAGTAAGCTTTGGAACAGTCACCTTTGAAAAGAAATTATCAGAAAATGTTTTTCAACTAAGCAGACTATTTCTGTTTAATGACCTTTTTTAAGAACAACTATTATAATCAAAGGAAACACCCCTGAGGTTTTATTATTCGAATACCTGACGATTTTATTCATTAAAAAAAATTCAATTATGAAATTCCATTTCTTTGAAGAGGGGGGGGGGGGGCCTCATTCGAATGAAATATTTTTAAACTTACTCAAAATTTTTTCTGTAAAATAAGAATTCCCTTTAATTGAGAAAAAATCCTTTGAGCCTAAAAATATCCTTTAAATCAATGGGAACATGTACTAAAATTGAGGTATCATTTTCAAACTATTTTTCCAGTGATCTCCCTTGGCTCATACTGCACCGCGAGGGTCCTTTTGCATGACTCTATCAAAATTGTCCCTTGTCTCAGTGAAAAAGGCAAGCCCAGTAAGATCGTGCGAAAGGATATCGACAGTGTAAGTCGGCAATCACATAACTCGGTTTGCGACGTCGCAGACTTCCTGTCATACTTCATTTTTTAAACGGAAAACTACTCAACGGCAATTCTTTAAATTTGTCGTGATTTTTCTTCTCTGAGCGAAGAAAGTTCTGCATAAACTTCAAGGAATGATGTCAATTTATCCTCCTTCACTGGGAAAAAAACACATTGGATTTAGAGTCCAGACTTTTGTAAACATTAACAAGAAAAAATACTCTTGATTCAATCAGAGTTTTGCTTAAATCAAAAGGAAATCCGCTCAAATTAAGAGGCTTGGTCTTTGATTTAAGTTAAAATCAGATTGAATCAAGAGTATTTTTTCTTGTCCATTTTTTAAGAGTCCGGACTCTAGACCCAATGTGTTTTTTTTCCCAGTGTTTAAAAAAATAACGTAAAGGCCTAGATTTTCAGACACCGCAAACGAGTAATGTGATTGCCGACTTACACCGTCGACATTCTCAACGGGAGCCTCTTCTTTTGAGGGATGGAGCGCTTTGAGGAAATCGGGGACGGTGGTGGGTGATTTGAGGAGGTAGAAAGCGAAAAGCGGGCAAGGAAGAGGCCGGCGCCGGGCGTTGAGGACGATGGCGCGGCGTTTTTTATTATGCACTGTGCACTTCCCGCATTTCACTCGACACTCGGTTACGCAACTGGGGCGAGCAGAAATTAAGAGCGATTCGCGCGGACGCCCCAGAGTCAGTTTCCTGAGGTCAAACATAATTTGCTCTAATTAATCAGTTCGCGACGCCATTTTGCAGATTTGAGCAGAGTGCCGCATGCCGTGTCGCGATCTGTTTCTGCTGCACTAAGGAAGAACACCGTATTGGCCTTTAGACGTTGCCATTTTCCCTTCGATAAAAAACAAATTTACTCGAAGAATGGAGATGTTGCATATGTGAGAAATTTGCGATTTGACTGTTGATTCTTATGTAAAAGTTTACAAGAAACACGATGGTGCCACTGGTTTTCTCTGAGTTCCATTCCCAAGCTCAAAAAAAGCCAATGCCTTGCCCAAGCAGGTCTTCGATTAGGTTCCTCCCGGAAGGCGACGGAGTGGACGTCCTGTGAAAGGTTGGCAACAAGGGGTGGAGGAAGAGATCAGAAGGTGCCAATTGCCTGATGATCTCTGGAAGGATAGGGGGCAATGGCGATTGGGTGTCGCAGAGCGCGAGGCTGCGCTATAAAAGCGGCTTTATGTATGTAAATGGGAATGAATATGGGAATACTTTAAGTGTGGGAATATCAAAATTACCACTTACGAAATTTACGACTCAAAAATTTAACCCTCGTTAAAATGAACTTGTCCTCTCTAGGAGAGGTTTAGGTTTTCCTGGATAATTTGGGAGAAATGGAAAGTACTGAAGAAAGGTTGTTTAGGAAGAAGAGAATATCATAAAAATGCCTCAAAGTCTTTAGAAAAAACTGGTGGCAATTAATTAATAGATCACTGAAAAAAAAAAGTTCGAAATATCCGAACTTTTTTTCGGTGATCGTAAAGGACCATCCTTAAAATGGAAGGGATAATATGGAGTTTCTGACTAATGCTCTTCAGTCCTTGCCGTGTGCAGGTGGCGAAAGGGCTTTATCCTCATCGTGGCTATAATAAAGGTTGACAAGGGCGTTGTAAAAAAATCAGCACTTCAACGTTTCATATGTCATCTAATTAGTAAATATAACCCAGAAACAAGTCATTAATCAGTAGCCGAAGTATTAATTACGTGTATAAGAAGCTGCATGACCTAAAACTTGTCGCTATTCGTCCGAGAGACGTTGAACAAGACGGCTGTTGTCAGCTTGTGCTTCGCGTCGTGTGTAGATTATAATT